ATATATATATATATATATATATATATATATATATATATATATATATATATATATATATATATGAACATGGTGTGCACATATTTGATTGAAAAATATTTTAACACAGCGTGATTAAAATCAACATCATAGTTGTCATATTTTTGGATTTATAATAACTATTCACAATAGATACCATATAATGTTGGTATTTTAAAAAAACACTATGGAAAATAATAATATACAAAATCAAGGTTATTGGACTATGTTTTTTATATAAACATAGATGTGAATCACATGCCTTTTTGTAATTCGAGTTTTATATTGATACTCTATTAAAATGTTTTTGGCCAAATGTTATTTTTTTGCTCTCTAGCCTGGAGTACATAAGCTTAAACCACCTAATATGATATGAATGATATCTTATATTTGATAATTTGTCAAACTATTATTTTATCTAGTTATTTTTTCAATAAAAAGTTTTTTATAAAAATTAGAAAACGGGTATCCGGAGCCGGAACCGGTCCCGCCGGTTCCGGTTCCAATATTTCAGGAACCGTCGGTTCCGGTCCGATTCCGGTTCTATCGAATTTAGCCTGGTATCCGCATATGCTCATCCCTACTTTTTATGGCTAAATTACGCTTGTTTTTCTTGATAATACTGTAAGGATATGTGTTATTATGATATGAAAAATGGAGTGGAGAAAAAGGTAGACATCCACATTAATGCTGATGATGGTTGTTTGGCTCATTTGTCACCACCACTTTTTGAAATCTAAATATTAGATAAAACAGGAGGAGGAGGTATCTCTAGGAATTTTCTCTTAGAATCAGGTTAGCGAAACCGATCATTGAATTTAATTAGAGACCTTTCAATGCCAATTTCTTCAGTTATATGTTCTGATTTCTTTATTTTTTTTCAATGCTAATTTCTTAAGTTAGCGAAATCTTGCACATATATGTATCTCCAAAAAGCATTAAACATATTGACAACCACATGATGGAGATATGAATTGAAAAATCCAAAATATTAGTGAATAAAGGAGATAGTTAAAACTCACACTCCCAAGAACTACCTAACAAATTTTTATTAATTAATAACACGAAATGTCGTCAGAGATGGAAGGGTCATCAGAGAAGATGGATGTCACCAGAATTGAAATGGATAAGCATGTATGCGGTTGGATTAGGAGAAAATACGAAAGAATTTGAAAACATAGGAACCATTAATGTAATTTTGGAAAACTGATTTAACAATGATTTGTTAAAAAACTAACGAAAATGACTTAATAAAAAAGTAAATTGTAAGTTTAATGACCTATTACGCAAAAAAATACATTAGTGACCAGATCGAGTAAAAGACATAAGTTTAATAAGCAACAATTACATTTTCCTTTTTTTTTGTATTATTTAACATTTTTGGAGATCCCTATCATTTTTTGAAATTTTTTCTTGCATCCGTAAGTCAATTTTGTGTTAACTTTGTTTGGGTGTTTTTTATTTTGTGTCTTGCTTTTTTCTCTGATGAACACAAAAGAACCAAAGGTTTGGGTATTTTTGCTTTTCTCTCTCATAAAGAACACGAAGTTCGATTTTGTGTTTAGGCGTAATAACTCTTGGCTTACATAGCAATGATGAGTTGACTCACCACTGAGTCATTATTGACTCACCTGCTTAGTCGGCAATTGATAAGGCAGTGTAACCTTCAAAAACGGGTACAGATACGAAATTAACCGGTAAAACACAAGTTCGTATATTTTAAGGCAAAATAAAATCACGACGGACCATTTAAACCAATATACGAAACATTATTGGGCTACGGCCACAATAACCCATTATATGCGCCGCATGTTACTGAAATAACATATATATTTATAGATCCATTACTAATGGACTACATACCCTAGTTATTTTTACTAGATCCGCCACTGATTGATGCACATCATGTCATTATGTTTGATACTCGGTTATTTTACGTGCATGCTAACATGATACATCATCCGATCGAAGAACATAACTAAACCCACCATCCATTTACTAGCACTATACAAACACCAAATATCCATTGCTAGATGATGTTCTACCGTCATTCATCATGCTAATAGGAACGACAGTAAAGTCAATGGAAATCGCTAGTTGTTTCTAGGTAAACAATTCAACGGATCACCAATTAATTCTCCCAACTACTATAGAAAAGTGATGAAACCTTGAGAGAGGAAGTAACCTAGCCGACAATTAAAAGTCTTCTTTCTAGCACAATCAAGAAACACGTAGCCACAGTAGTGGACACTGTTTGCCTCTAATCTAGTTTTTAAATCTAATAATTATGGGTTTAAGGAGAAATCATAAATGCTAAAAAATATTTGTCATAACTCATAATTACCATCGAATCAGATATTTATTCTATTGCTAAATTTCGAGTCTTTCTTTAATAGAAAAAATTAGTTATTGGATTTCAATATTTATAAATGGAATATATATAATTAATTCATTAAATGATGAAATCCCGGAGATTTTGTTCTTATTTGTAGGTCATAGTCCATTTTCTATATAAACCCCCTTCCACATCCAATATATAAGCCATATGCCAAGACTTACATTTTGGTACGAGAGACAACAAAACTTCCTGCTTTGCTTCTTTACTTAAACAGATGGAGGAGAGAGAAGGAATCATACTATTGCATGTCTTCGTGTTCCTCATTGTTGCACTTATCTGCTACATTTTCGTAAGAAGGAACCAAAGGGACTCCACCAATAAGCTCCCTCCAGGGTCACTAGGCTGGCCGTATATCGGTGAAACACTTCAACTTTACTCTCAAGATCCAAATGTTTTCTTCGCTACAAAACAGAAAAGGTCTATCACGACTAATTCCTTTCAAATTAACTTTCGATGTAGTATATTGTATTATCTCAGCAATTCTTAACGCCATAGACTTGTTCTTTTGTGCGGATTGTTCAGGTATGGTGAGATTTTCAAGACCCATATTTTGGGTTGTCCTAGTATCATGTTGGCTAGCCCTGAAGCAGCTCGGTTTGTATTGGTAACACAATCTCACTTGTTCAAGCCCACGTACCCAAAAAGTAAAGAAAACTTGATTGGTCCTTTAGCACTGTTTTTCCATCAAGGGGAGTACCACACTCGCTTAAGGAAGCTAGTCCAGGGCTCCTTATCACTTGATAATCTCCGAAGTTTGGTTCCAGATATTGAATCAATGGTCGTATCCGCGTTGGACTCATGGGCAGATAGCCGAATTGTCCAAACGTTTCATGAGATGAAAAGGGTTGGTTTTATGTTCTGTGTTTTTCCTCCTATATATGTCATCTTTCATTTGGGTTTATTGAATTCACACCAATGTTTTTGTCTACATCTTTATGTACATTACAATAATCTTTTTGGGGAATTGATAATTACATACTTGTTTGATTACAGCTATCCTTCGAGGTTGGTATACTCGCTATATTTGGACACTTGGAGGCCAGCCAGAAAGAGCAACTAAAGCAAAACTACAGCATAGTAGACAAAGGTTACAACTCTTTCCCAACAAAATTACCAGGCACACCCTTCAAAAAGGCTTTTTTGGTAAGTCAAGTTTTTTCATATTTCATTTGCCTTTTGTCCATTTTCCTTTCGAAGCATCCAAAAATAACATCTTCTTACTTGAAAGTTGAAAACTAAGTCTAAAGTTGGTGACATAACGTTATATAAAAGCGAAACTGCCTTTCGAGTTTTGACAGACTTGCGTACTTAACCAAATGCCAACACTCTTTATATATAGGCGAGGAAACGGCTGCAGCAGATATTGAGGGAAATCATCTCTGAGAGGAAAGAAAAGAGGGCAACAGAGAAATACCTTTTGGGATGTTTAATGAACTCGAAAGATGATAATGGTAAAACCTTGAGTGAAGATCAGATTGCTGATAACATTATTGGAGTTCTGTTTGCTGCTCAGGACACAACAGCCAGTGCATTGACATGGATTCTGAAATATCTGCATGATCACCCGAAACTTCTGGAGACTGTAAAGGTAAAATGACGCATTTGCTTAATTCTCTCTCTAAAAAAGCAGGAGCTTCTCTCTCATAGTATTGGATTTTCCCATGAAATATTATAATAATAAAACTTTATGTCTATGTAGGCTGAGCAGAAGGTTATCTACAAGTTTAATGATGATGGTCATCTTAAGTTGACATGGGCCCAGACTAGAAATATGCCAATTACGTACAAGGTATGCACTTTTGACAAACAAGTTCTTCTATAGCAATTAGACTTTTCATGCACAAGGCAAAAGTAAATATCAAATCCAGACATGGATGGGGGAACATACACAGAAATCAGGGTACCCATGTGTCTATTTATGTGTTGAAAGTTTTCTCGATGTGTGTATATATGTTAGGTGATATTGGAGAGCTTGAGAATGGCAAGCATTATATCATTCACATTTCGAGAGGCAGATACTGATGTCGAATACAAGGGTAAGATAACAGTCCCACACGATCATCTTGGAAGTTTTGTTAGCTTATGATTTTTCTTATCTCGGGTTTTTGATTGCACTACTGTCCACATAGCTATGTAATTCTCCTTAATAGACTGCGATGTTTAACAAACTACACCCAATAATTTGAAACAGGCTATCGAATACCAAAAGGCTGGAAGGTCATGCCTTTGTTTAGGAATATCCATCACAATCCTGAATTCTTTCCCAATCCTCAACAATTCGACCCTTCAAGATTCGAGGTAAGATCAGTGAGATTTGATTAATGGTGCAATTGTTATATATAATTGTTTTGAAAAAAAAAATCTTGTTGCATATGAAGGTTGCACCAAAGCCGAACACATTTATGCCGTTTGGAAGCGGAGTCCATGCTTGCCCTGGAAATGAGCTTGCTAAGCTGGAAATGCTCATTATGATTCACCATTTAGTCACTAAATATAGGTATGGGATTGGGATTTCATTTTAATCAAACCCATATGACACAGTACTAGAATTATGTTTTGAATAACAAAGAGTGAAATTCATATATTGATGATTGTGGTTGCAGATGGGAAGTGGTGGGATCTGAAAGTGGGATTCAGTATGGTCCATTTCCTGTCCCGATGCATGGACTTCCTGCAAGATTTCAGAAGGAATCTATCCAGGAAAAGGGAGAAGTATGTGGTGCTTGTTATGATACTTAGAAAGTAGTTTTCATGCCTTCCCCAAACTTAGCTATCAGTTGTTAACCCATCCCCACAATTGAGTCATCTGAGGATAGAAGATTCCTGCCTTTTCTCTATATTATTATTGCCTTTTGTACCACTTCTGTTAATGGAAGAGGTATCTAATGTTATTAAAGGAATTCGTGTAACTGTGTCTTTCATTTTCTTAATATATATATTTCTTTAAAACGAGAGATGTGGAAATATCATCCAGTCGACAAATACCATGTCTCTGGCGATTATATATAAAAGCAGCAGAGGGTTGACATTCCTTCAGCTCAGCACCCCATGGTCCAATAAACTTTCATGCCCAAATTCATGGACCTCTAACACAATTAGGATGTGTGCACGAGACAACTTTGTGACATAGGCTCATGGTTCGCCTGTTAATAATATTGGGCTTTATACTATAATACAAACAGCCTTCAATACCTTTCCACAAGATTGCATTTAAGTTGAAACTATCAGAAAATATCATTGATTCATTTGAAAACTGGATCTGAATGTTGACTTATTTTTAATGGAAAACTAATATACTCTTAATTAGCTACACCTTAATACCATCTATCTCTCAAACGAGACTTGAGCCCTCAACCTCCTCTAGGAGGGAGGACACACCATACCACTAGGCCAAATGCATTTTGGTAAGTGCATGTTGATTGAGGGAGGCGTAACACACACTTTATTTAAAAAACAAGTTCCACCCACAATACATCAAAAAGTTGTCATGACTGACATCTCATCGTGTTTAGCAAGTTACAAATAGTGAGCATAGTGTTTGTTGTAACAACGGGAACAAATCCAGAATTGAAGAAGAAATTTGGTTGAAGAATCTAGTGTTGATAATTTGGTTGGAATAACAGCTAAAGCCTTCCAAATCATGAGATGTTGAAGTGTAGCCTTCAGTTGTAATTACAACGACACCAAATAGCTAGTAGAAGACACTGAAGTGAATGTAGGCTTCCTACTCGGCATTGGTCATGGAAAAACCAATTACTGAAGGCTAAAGTGTAGTCTTCCAACTAACAACCACATTACCCGAACGTGATTACATTACTGGTCAACAATCTCCTCTCGTCCACATTTGCAACAAAGTAGTAATTTGAGTATATGGCTATCATACACTCTTAGACACTATCATAAATGAGGCCGATATTTTGTTGGATTAATCGGTTAAAAGAAAGTTTGTTTTATTTTAGGAAACTTGATATGGACTTGTTTTAGTTTTTGTGTTTGTTTAGGATTCAATTATGTCTAGTATAAATATGGTACAAGTTCCAGATCAAGAATTTAGTGGTCTCGTTTATTAGTAAAAGTTTAGTAGTCAAGCAATTTCCATTGTTCCGTTTTTTCTTCTATTTTGTTGCACACCTGTTCCAACTTAAATAAAACTTACACTTGGTATCAGAGGGGTTTCGTTGAAAGGGTCTGATTCGAGGTTAATTAGAAGCAACCCCGGTTTCTTTTAATCGGGCTTGCGAGAGACTAACCGGAGGCGCGGAGTAAACGAACGGGAAGACGTCAAAGCGGGTTCGTTTTGCGGGTGACGGAAGACGATAAAGGTGGTCGTGACCTTGTCTTGTTGTTTGGTGGAAGAGTGCTCTCGGAACAAGCTTGATTAGAGAAGTCGGGGTTAAGGAGAAAAGGATGTCGTTGGTTAAAGAACGAGGTTCAATGACGTATCAAGTTCCGGTTTTGACTCCAACGAATTATCCGGTGTGGGTGGTCAAAGTCAAGTCGATTATGGATGTACACGGCATATAGGAGACGGTCGAACCAAAGGCGGGTGAAACATTGGATCATAAAAAGTCAAAACAAGCTCTTGCTTTTTTGTTTCAAGCGATACCCGAAGACATGGTGTTGCAAATGGCGAGTTACACCGAACCAAAGAAAGTGTGGGATGGGCTGAAAACACGGTATTTTGGAGTGGATCGGGTGAGAAGGGCTCGGCTTGCAACGTTAAAGAGAGAGAGCTTGAACGTTTACGCATGAAGGAGGGTGAAACGGTTGATGATTTTGTGAGGAAATTATCCGGTTTAGCGTCAAAAGCAAGGAGTCTTGGATATGAGCTTGAAGAATGTTATTTGGTAAAAATGTTACTAGATTCGATGCCTAAGTCATTTCTTCAAATCGTGGCTTCAATAGAGCAATGTTTGGAGTTGGATTCAATGTTATTCGATGAAGCGGTTGGTAGATTGAAGGCATACGAGGAGCGTATAAGAGGAACCGAGAAAGTGGAGGACACTCAAGGTGGGTTATTATTGGCTAATGAAGAAAAATTACATGTTTGTAAGCATTGTGGCAATGGACGTTCAAATCGGGATGACTTTGGACGTGACCGGGGAAGAGGTCGGGGGTCCGGGAGAAGTCGAGATGGTAATGAACGTGTTCGGGATAAAAGTCACGTTAGATGTTACAAATGTGGTGAGCTTGGTCACTATAAAAACGAGTGTCCTAAATGAGAAAAGGAAGAAGCGGGTCTAATCGAAGAGGAATCGACAGTGTTTTGAACGAGTGGCTTAACCGATTAAGGGGGTGATTGTTGGATTAATCGGTTAAAAGAAAGTTTGTTTTATTTTAGGAAACTTGATATGGACTTGTTTTTGTTTTTGTGTTTGTTTAGGATTCAATTATGTCTAGTATAAATAGGGTAGAAGTTTCAGATCAAGAATTTAGTGGTCTCGTTTATTAGTAAAAGTTTAGTAGTCAAGCAATTTCCATTGTTCCGTTTTTTTCTTCTATTTTGTTGCACACCTGTTCCAACTTAAATAAAACTTACATATTTAAAGTTCCTCTCAAGTGACGAGATATCTGTTTGCACGCAACTAAACGATCCCATCACGAATCTTCCATATACCATGACACTACACTAACAAAGTGTTTTATGTTCAGTCTCGTGCACAACATAACATACATAAGTCTCGTGCACAGCATAACATACATAATGTTAGCCTATATATTATTATTAGCCCACTTATTTATGGGCCCTTTAGCCTTTAGCCCATTACGGTTTTTAGTCCATTAGGGTTTTGTCTATCTAGTATTTTTTTCCGTTTTATTCTTTGTAGTCTTTATGCTTTTCATTGATGATGTGTCCTAATAGCTACACCTAATTTTACCTACTATCCTACTAGCTATTCGACCAAAGGCAGTGTACGTTTTCGCAAATAGTATAGCACAAACAGTCGGGTATCGACCTCAGGAAACAAAATTAATTATTTAACCTACTTACTATTAAATTAACCTAAAATTCTAAGCAAAAGTAAAATGGTTTTTATCTAATTTTTCAAGTTTAGACAAACTTAAATTCTCAACTATTCAAATTCAATCAATTACTAAAACACTTCTGTTAGTTCGAATCCATTTTCCCTCAATGGTTAGCTATTAATTATGGACAATTCTCGTTGGTTACCAATTAATATATTATTACCAATTCAAGTCCAAATTTATTAATGTTGAATTAATTTATGTAGAGCTATGCATGGTCACACATAATTTAACACATAATCAATTATTAATTATTATTGGAGTTATGTAAGATTGACTAAATAAACACAATATTATAGTCACAATATATGTTCTCTAGCACAGCCAAAACTAATACTTTCATCACTTAACTAAGATTGGTTGGATCCTAGCTCTAGCAATTCAATGATCACTAAATTACTAGGTGTCAAGTTCATGCAATTTAATATTCACTAAACTACACAGAACATGAGTTAAAGCAATTTAAGTATCAAATTCTAACATGTTAGGTATTAACAATCAAACACAAGCATTCAAGCAACAAGAAAAATCCATAATTAAATAACTAATCCAGGAGTTCAAGCTTCATCTAGCTAACAGAAGCAGCTAGATTTAGCTACTCATAGTAACAATCAAACACACAATCTTCATTATTAAAAACATAGTAATATACCAAACTAAGAATAAAGTTATGATATTCTCCTTCTCCTTCCTTGGATGTTATCACTAAGTTTCTGCCTTCTTTTCCTATGAAAATCGACTTCTAGACTCTCTGTTCTTTCCAGCCAACATTTTCAAGTCGTAAAACACCAAGGATATATATACTTTACGGGATTTTGAACTCCACGTCGTGAATTTGGATGAATCCTTATTGGGCAAGGACTTCAACTTTCCGTGTACTCATCTTCTAGAATCGTCCATGCCATGTCGTGTAAGTGAAGTCCACGACGTGGATATAGTTTTTCCGTGGAATTTTCTTTTCTTTACTTCTCCAAGCCTCCAAAGTTCCATCACTTTTCGCTTTTAGTTCTTGTTCTTCAAGATGACTTCTTTTGGCTGCAAAATGTAATTAGATCTTATAAGTACCACTTATCTATGCAAATAACTAAAATATTAATGAAAATGCATTCAAATATTGCATAAAAATATGTATAAATATGACAATATCAAAGACCCCACACTTATCTTTTGCTTGCCCTCAAGCAAAACTAATTATTTTTAAGTCTTACTTACATCACCAATATCACATAAGACAATCCATTTTGAACTCAACCATTATACCAAGACCTCAATGCGCATATGTAACGCCCGGTTCCTGGTATTTATTTTGAATCAAAATTTTTCATTTTTGTACAGGAACTCAACGAGTTGGAGGCCCCAAACTCGTCGAGTAGGAATGGAATTTGGATGCGGAACTTAAAGCCTACTCGACGAGTTGAAGGACTCAACTCGAAGAGTAGAGCTGCCAGAATGAAACCCTAATTTTCAAGGTTTAGCACCCTATTTAAACACCTTAACCTCCAAAGGTTGGCCTCATTTACGGCCTCCATCATCCCAAACCCTAGCCACGAAACCCTAATACATTTTTAAGTGTTTTGAGCCATTTTTGTACATGCTTTGTGAAATTGAAGAAGAGGATTCTTGAAGAAGGAGCAAGGACGTGAAGGAGAAGAGTAGATCTAGAAGTTGAGCTTCATTTCTGGTTCATTGGAGGTATAAAGCTCCTATCTTGTCTATTCAATGTTTAGATCTAGTTTTAGAGTGATTTCTCCATGTTTTGGTCTAAGAATGCTAGTCTTTGGGACTTGGACGTCTGATGTGGGGAAAACCTTTCAGATCTAGAGTCTTTTAAGGACTTCATTGCATAAAGGTGCCAACTTTATGGCCATGAAGGTCCCATGCAACTTA